TTACCTCCCTTCGGGCAGGATGTGGTTTCCGCAGCGTCCCTTCCTTCCATTGATAGGGTAGTGGTCCTGTGGAACAGCAGTGACTTTCTTGGCCTAAGCCCTTCCATCTCCGCCTCAAGTTGCGGAAGGTTCAGGAGGCTTTTGTCCAGGCACTGGAAGGTGGCAGCACTAGTGGCGTTTTCAATTGGGTATCCCATTCAGTCGACATCGACTACGTCTGACGTTCTCGACTGAAAGGGAACGTCCTGGTTGCGTATGCAAGGACGTATTCCCTTTGCCACTACTGATGGACCACCGCTGACTCCGAGTTACGCCGGCTCCTCAGCGAAAAAGCAACTAGTGCGTGCATCCACTTCCGTATTTATACCCGCGCCATTTTGCCCCTGGACAGTCAAAGTCATAGGGCACCCTATCTGATCAACTTTTCATTTGCTTTGGTGGGCGTAGTTGAGGTTCCACTGCCACCAAGCAGACGTTATCATACTAGGTTACTGATGCAATCTCTAATGCCTATGAGGCACGCGGCACTCTACCCAGAATTTGGCATCCTCTAAGGTGCTTTTTAAAGAGGCGCTCTTGCAAGATTTTGTGCTGCGGCAGGCTGGTCCTATCCCCACACATTCATACGATTTTATAGTGTGGATATGGATTCAACTCCTGCCTCCCGAGTCCTCTTGGGTTAATCCATTCCACTAGTCCACTTATGGCCTTGTGGAGCAGGCAATTTCCATTATGGTGGTGTGGGTATTAATGTTTCCATAGCGTCAACACCATGGCACAGCGTCGAAGTTCCCTCAAAAGGGAACATCAGTGGTTATGTAATCCGGTTCCCTGAGAAGGCAACAAGATGCTGCGCCATGGTGTTGACGTTATGGAAACGTTAACACCCACGTTTGTAAAAATTGTTCAAACCTGATAGAGCATTGACCTTTTAGCGCCACTCAACAGGCACTTAATTTTATATGTACAACAAGCAACGTAATAAATGTTTGATTCACATTCATTTGTTTTGGATAAAACTGAACACACTTTTAGCCCCACTGACTGGATATTTCGCTTTGAAAATCCACTGAAACCTGCAAGAAGCAACATATTCAATTCAATTCAATTCAAATTTAATTGTATAGCGCTTTTCACAATACATATTGTTTCAAAGCAGCTTTACAGAAAGGGCATTTCAGAAATGTACATAGAAAAAATACAGTTAGTTAATCATGTATTAATTTAGGGCATAACATATCGCCGGCGTTGAGTCGTCTCTTCACAGACGTCGAGTCGTCTCTTCACAGGCGTTTAGTCATCTCATCGCAGGTGTTGGGGCATCTGAAGTCTCCGTGAGAGGCTGTATACAATCTGGAGCTGACGAACGCTATTTACCTCGGGACTAGCGTCCCGAGATAACAGCAGAAAAGCAGATGGGAAATAATTAGCATAGCTGCTGTTCATAATATTAATGCATTCGATCTGATTCAACAGTAGTATAAAAGGTAAGCATTATGTGAATGCTTGGCTAAAGAGATGCGTCTTTAATCTAGTTTTAAACTAGGACAGCGAGTCTGAGCCTCGAACAATATCAGGAAGGCTATTCCAGAGTTTAGGAGCTAAATGTGAGAACGCCCTCCCTCCTTTAGTGGACTTAGATATCCTAGGAATGACCAGAAGCCTCGAATTTAGTGATCTTAAAGATCACTAAATTCTTTAAGCCTACAATCCATCGCGTGATGGATTGTAGGGCGATAGAAGGTCCATTAAATACACAGGAGCTAGACCATTTAGGGCTTCATAGGTCAGTAGTAATACTTTGTAATTGATACGGAACTTAATAGGTAACCAGTGTAGAGATGATAAAATTGGTGTTATATGATCATATTTTCTTGACCTAGTAAGAACTCTAGCAACTGTAGCTTGTTTATTGAGGATGCAGGACAACCAGCTAATAAAGCATTACAGTAATCTAGTCTCGAGGTCATGAATGCATGAACTAACTTTTCTGCATCAGAAACAGATAGCATGTTACGTAGCTTAGCAATGTTTCTAAGGTGGAAAAAGGCTGTTCTTGTAACATATGAAATATGATTTTCGAAAGACAAGTTGCGGTCTAGTAGCCTGACTTCGTCATACTCATATTCTAGTCAGAATGTGAGTCTGATACTGCTCCATAGGGCTTTGATTATGAGGCGTGTCTTAACCGAACCAGGAAAAAAAAAAACTCTGCACTCAAATGCCTTGATTGCAGTTCTCTGTTCGTCTTTTAAAATGAATGCGCTGTCGATTTCTTTTACAACAGACGCGATGGCTGAATCTATACATCTCAATTCTCCAGCTGCAGTCATCTTTGAGGGAAACCAGTTCAACCCAAGCGCTCTTTGATAACGTGATGATTACGTAACTGCAGATCATCTGTCCATCATCGTATAAAGCCCGCCCTGACAATTTGATTGGCCCGACTAATTCTGAACCGATCATAATTACTCCTCAATGGATCGAGTCCAGACCGAACTTCCCGACCAAAAAATTTTGTGGGCGGGGTTCGGGCTGGCATCCAGGCTAGCGGTCTAGTATAACACCCAGGTCTTTTACTGTAGTGGATAAAGTAACAGGACATCCTTCTAAATTAAAGTTGTATTGTAAGAGGTTTTGTGGGTAGTTTTTTGGACCAATAAGTAATACCTCAGTTTTATCTGAATTTAATAGCAGGAAATTACATGTCATCCAGCATTTAATATCTTTAAGACACTCTGTCAATTTAGATAAGTTAGTGTTTTCATCTGGTCGTGATGAAATATATAATTGATTCCATGTTTTCTTATAATATTACCAAGTGGCAGCATATCATTTTTCAGAAATATCGCCACAGGCACATATTTCCAGTGAGCCTGGGTTGCCTTTATTTAGGTATCAGAAACTTGCTCTGAAGACTATAATCATACATACAGGTCAGATAGCTTAAAGTATAAATTTAATGTAAAAAATAAATCAAATAAAATAAAAATCTTTAAAAAGAACTATATTCTATTCAGATATGTTGTTGTAAAAATGACATAGTAATGGCAAAAATGTTAAAGTAATCAATGACAGTATAATAAAAATACACGCATACCGTGCAGCAATTACAATTTCTGCAAAGTTGTTTCTGTGGTACTTGGCAGTAGATTGTGTTCACAGGTCCAGGTTTTAACATTGTTAGATTATTGAATAACATATAATTTGGTATGGCCTTGAAGTATAATAATTCTTTGCGGCTGTAGATGTATAGCAAATTTAAAGATGTACTCAAAAGAACGTCTTCCTAAGAAATAGAGAGATTTGGAAAAAAGAATAGAATAGAACTTGGCCTCATATAAACCATGACAGCAATTGGCAAATACTGGAATAGGACACATTGAAAGATATTAAGGGCCTGTTCGCATAAGATGTATCCTAGTGTTTCATCTGTGCTGTTTTATACTTGCTGGTCTATGTTAACAAGCACTTGATGGGCATCTTTGGCCATGTTTTACAATAAATATATAGTCTAATAATGATTTTTCTGTACTTTTATAATATTGTGATGTTTGAAGTTGACCCAGTCAGTGGTGGTTTGGTTTACTTCCTTCATTATTCCTCTTCAATCAGCAGAGGTTGGCCAAAGTCTACAGACAGTCTTTCAGTTCTCAGCTTCAGATTTTTCTGAGTTGTAAATAAAACAAAGATTATTGGAGTAAGTTTTATATGAAAATACTATTTCAGTTTTTCTACTTCAAATTTTAATATTCAATTCAATTTGTTAACCATTTCTTTGTAATTATTTGTGAAAATTGAGTAAAAATTGTTTCAAAGTAAATCATACACCATTTTTTTTTTTCAGTGTATGTGACAATTTCTCCATCGATTCATCACTTTAATAGATAAATCAATGGAGTGAACATGCTCCCTAAAGCATGGCTTGAACCCTTGCAGGATACACCATGATTCATTAGCATGTTGCAGCAAAGGGGATGAGATTTATTTATTAGACTTTTATTTTTTGAAGTTGCACACTTTGATTAAAGACATCAATGCTCCTGGTGCACAAGGGGTTCTATGGATAAAGCTGTTAGCATTCCCATTCATCTCAGTAGTTTAGCTAGTGTATTCAGCCCTTGAAATACACAACTTGAATTGCTCAGTTCTGAAAACATTTTTCCATACAGAAAATGGTGCCCTGGCAATGTTGTTTAGCTAATGGCACCAAAATAACACACAGTCCCAAACCTTTGACTAACTCTATATTAGATCTCTTTGCTCCAAGCATCACATATAGCAGACAAGTCTAATATTTGATGTTGTTACAAGCCTTCCAAAAAAAAAAAAAAAAAAAAAAAAAAATAAGCATGTGTTTTGGCACTGTGTACAAGGAGGCATGGTGCCCTTTCACAGTTAAGGGGAAAGCCCTGTAGTGTGCTTTTATGCCAATTCTCCACCTCTGTCACCTGGACAAAAATCTGAGGGCAAATCTAGGAATTGCATTGTTCTTGTCTTTTATGGCCTTGTGTGATTATTATTTTACATAACAATGTAATATATAATTTATGGTAATGTTTTTTTGTCCTTAACCGGAGGGAGGTTTGAACAGTAATTTGCTTAAGGCTGGCTCCTTTGCCTTTCAGTGTACAGACGGCAACACATTTTTTGGTCAATGCTTGAATCAATCAGACAAAGAAATGGCTTTTCTTTTTGGACACTTTTCAAAGGCCTGCCATTTTCTTATGCTCAGTTTATTATATATTGAAAAATCACAATGTGGTATGGTAACAAAGAAATACGATTTGGAATATAATCATAAATATCATTTCAATATCAATATCAACACTTTTCATAATTCAGGCCTCATTAAATAGTTACAATAGTGACTTAGCAGAAAAGGTTAGGTTAAAGTACACTGCAGTGCATAAGATTGTTCCATCATATCTAGAATTGCTCTGATTTAGTTGGTTCACTTGGGTGCGTTTTAACTCCTTTTTGTCATTTTCTCTTTCCAGGGACCTGAGGGCCCTCCTGGACAGAAGGTACTGTACAGTTGAAGCTTCTGTTTTACAGATCATGGAAGCCTGTTTCTGCCTAAGAATATCAAATAATTGTGAAAGAAATTTACAATAAGAATTCAACTTCTTTTAAAAAAAATTAATCATTTTATTTAGTATGCATTGGATTTATCAGTGAAAATAAAGACTTTTAGATGGTCACAAAAATTGGTATTTCAAATAATTGTTGTTATTATAAACTTTTTATTAATCAAAAAATCCTGAAAAATCCTGTTTCACGATTTCCATACAATTATTAAAAATGTTAAATATATTAAGCAGTGCAGTTTTAAACGTAGATAATAATAAGAAATTATACTTAAGCACCAAATGAGCATATTAAAATAATTTATGAAGGATCATTTGACACTGAAGACTGAAATAGTGGCTGCCGAAAAATCAGCTTTGCCTCACAGGAATAAACAACATTTTTAAATATATTAAAGGAATAGTTCACCCAAAATTAAAAAAAAAACTAATTAAATATCCTGATTATTTACTCACCCCAAGACCATCCAAAATGTACATGACTTTCTTTCCTTACCCAAAGAGAAATTAAGGTTTGGGAGGAAAATATTTTCTCCATTTAATGCTACTGGTTGGGAATCAGTGTAGTCCATTTTTGATGTTCCCAAATCCATACTTAGGCAGCTTCAAAGGGCTCCTCACGACCCCTGCCGACGATTAAGGGGCTTCTCTAGCAAAACGATCAGTCATTTTTAGATTGTTTTATAGTCAACAAACTGACATAAGAAAACAAAGATTCACTGAATGTTTTCCAGCAAGTGCCAAACCTGTGCTATATACAAGATGCAGAACATACAGTAGAATGGGGATAATGTGGTATTTTGCAGGTACATTAAATTATATGAGGCATCAGGTATGGTCTGGTTCACCCTTTTCCAACCCATCAGACTGTTTCTTTAAACACTTGTCAGGAAAACATCAAGACTGGACTTGTAAAGAGGGTATGCACATGATGTCACTGCGGTTACACCCACTAAGTGGCAGAAAGACTGAGTGGCACCAATAATGTTCAGCTTGAATGCAGCGAAAAAGCATCTAAAATGGTAAAGAGTCGTTGTGTTATTCATTGTAAGTCTTATGCATTGTCTTATTCATTGTATACGTTTTTGTTAGCAACCCTATTCCTGGAAACATGTCAATGTCCATGAACTACTGCTTCTTTGCCAAGTTGTAAGGATCACTGTGAAGTCCAACTGCATTTGATTCATTTGAATCATTTGATTTACTCCCATTTGTTGCAATTTTCCCCTTTAGAGTCAGCCAAGTTGCATGATGTTTTGCCACTAAGTCCAACCGAGAGGGTGTGTTCAGGTGAGAAAGTGACATCGAAAAAACCAAATCGAAGTCAGAGGGACGAGGGACCCCAGTGGAGCTGGAGGGATGATGACCACAGTGAAGTAGGTGGAGCAATGAACTACGGTGGAACCGACGGGTAGAAGGGCTGAGGTGCAATTATAGGCTCAGAAGACTAAGGTGGAGCTGTAAGCCCTGTGAGTTTTGTAAGCCCTGGACTATGGCCTAGAGTCATTCGACTGTGGTGGAATGGCCTGGTCAGGAGACCGTTGTTATGCAGGTGGAGCTGGAGGGCTGAGGAGAGCCAGATCAGGTGAATTAGGTGGAGCCATGAAACTAGGTGGAGCCAGTGGAGGAGGAGGAGGAGCCAAGAAACAGGGCGAAGCCAGCGGAGGAGGCGGGGCCAGAAAACTTGCCAAAGCCAATGAAGGAGGTAAAGCCAGGGAACTGGACAAGACCAGCAGAGGAAGTAAGAGAAGTAAGCAGGGCAGAACCAGCAGATATGGAGGCGGAGTTAAGTAGCCAGATGGAACCAGTGGAAGAGGAAGCCGGACAGGAACCGGCAAAGGAAGCAGCAAAGAAAAAGGAGCTAGGAGCCTGGGCGAACCAACGGAGATGAAGGAGCCAGGAAGCCAGGTGGAGCCTGCAGAGACTAAGGGGCTTGGAATGGACATGGTGACAGGCTCTGACTCCATGACGGCAGGATCTGGTCCTGAAATGGACATGGTGGGCTGGCTTTGGTTCCGTGGCAGGAGTGGGCTCTAAGTTCGTAGCTGGCATGGGCTCTGTCTCTGGGGATGGGGCATCCTCTGGAGGAATTGGCCCTTGAATGCTGGGAGTGGGCACAGAGGGTTTGACTAGCTACAACGCATACTCGTAGAAGTGAGCAACTAGAGTTCCCCAAAGGCATTGTAGGCCAGTTGGTGATCATTGAACACACCTTGAGTGTGTTCTCATTCCAAGGTACCTGATGACAGAAGTCCAAAAAGTCATCCATGAAATCCTCCAGAGGATGTCCCCCTGATATAGTGAGAGGAATTGGTATATTGTTGACAAACATTTCATATGAGCAAAACAAAGTTCTGCTACAGATGAGCTGCAGCTACACTTGCACAGACAAGACACAAGAAATGACACATCCAGATTATAAATTCTGGCAAAGATATTCAGTGCACAAATAAGTGGTGTGGTGAGCAGAGGAGGAGCAGGAGCACACCTGCAAAAGCAAACTAACAAACTCAATCCTTGTTTTTATTGAAACAGAATCCGTAGTAGCAAAAAGTACCACTGGATATGCTTTTTGAATGGAGCTGGAGGTCTAACGAGAGCCGGAGAATTAGGTGGAGCCATGAAACTGTGTGGAATTGGGTGGAATTACAATGTAGATATGGAGTTGCAATGTAGATGTTTTATATATGGGATATGTACGAGCGGCAACCTCCCTGTCTCTCTCTTAAACCAACACGTAAGTGACTTAAACTGCAATTCATCGACTGGCCGCTTGAGGCTGGATGCAAAAGGGAGTCAAATCTGTATCTCCCCCATGTTAAAATGTCCAACTTTGACAGCAGAAAAAAAATGTGTTTACAACCTGGTGCAAAAAGTGGTTTTGGTCTATATAGCTAATGTTGCCCTTCATGACAACTGTGAGGGGGGTGATTTTTTTTTTATAACTCATCCATTTAAATTATATTAATCCTTAAAGTTCTGCATAATTAAGGGCGTGGCCACTTGAGTGACAGGTGTATTACCGCTGCTATCACTACTAGCCGTTTGTCTGCTGTCTGTTAGCGTCACGTTACCTCAGCTAATTCCAGCTACTGAACTTGCCATCTCTGCCGTGTTTGTGCTTTTTTTCGGGATTATTTAATACAATTTAATACACGCATCGGCATTATACCTTCACCCACGCCGTTGGATTCCATCGTTGTCGAGTATCAAGAGAACAACCAGCGCTCTATTTCAGTTGTTTTCCTCTGTGAACATGCACTCATGGATGCCTGACAATTTCATTGCTTTTTGGAGTTTTCAGATTTAAAAACGTCTATAGATATAGAGACCACACTCGTTCTGCGGTACCGTTGCTCTCACGGAACAGATAGATATGCTTATTTTACTTTTTAGTGTTAAATAAAAAGTACCGTCAGATGAAATCCTGCAGGTGTCAGTGCTTTCTCCGTCCATGCAATACATGCACATCCTTGAACGAGCGCTGATTTATAGCACATTTACTTGAACATCTGAGGTAATATCTTTGGTTTGACCCATTTGAGAGATGGCCAAAATCAGAATTTAAAATGGACTGAATAAAGCTCTCTACGAACTTGACGTGTGATGCCGCGCTGACTGACATGTATGCGCATGAATCACTGTCAAAGACACACACATGCTCAGAGCAATATCACTGCATAATACATTTTTAACTAGCAGAATAATACAGCATCACGATACACACAGTCTCACTTTTAGCTATGTCTTTTAACTATTATAGTTTTTCGAAGGGCAAAAACATGAACTTTAAATATTGGCTTTACATCATCAAGTCAGCTGTCACAGCCCTTGCGACGGTACTGAGTAGCATATAGCATTAGCTCCTTAGCCTGAGCAAACTCAATCACGTCGAGCTAGGTGGGCGTGGTTTCAGCAACAGGCACCTCAGCTCCACCCACGTCCCGCCTCTTTGCCCATTTTCTGTTATCCGGCTCCACCCACTTTTAGCTTAAAAAATGCTCTTCAGAAACCTACGGGTGAAGTCACGGACGCTACGTCCATATTTTTTTACAGTCTATGGATATGTAGGGTTGTGAAGGACCCTAATAGGTGAAAGTGCCCACTCACTTTTGCTCAGTCTCGGCCAGAAATAAAATTCTGCTTATGCCACTCGTTGAAGATTTCCAAAAAGTAGTGCACAGTATTACTAAATAGCTCCACTGAATAACTTGAGAATGGCATTTTAAAAAGACACAAAGCAGACCATTAACACACAGCCTTAGGGTCCCACAAGAGGTTATTATAGCAGATGTGCATTGTCTTGACATCAGGTAGCTGCCAGTGTTTTCAAAGTAACCTCATTAAAGCTGTCTGTTTGAGCTGTCAGCAGTCGACAGTCTCCTCAGGACACTAGGGCCGATGACACACTGCTGTGTTAATGACTGCGCTCACCTCCGGGCCTCATTTGGGTGTGCCCCGTGGCAGACCAACAAGACTCAATGTAAACAGTTACTGTTTCGTGTGCATAATAGCATATTTGTAGTATGTCAGAATCACTTCAAGTGGTTTTCTTTGGCAAATCTCTTCACAGGATTTTTTATTATTATTATGTTTTTATAAAAAAAAAAAAAAAGAGAATTCACTGTTTCCAAGCATGCCTAAATCTAGTCTTATTAAAAAAATATTGCATAAAAAACTTTAAGGTCCAGTTATTACGCAAGATGGACTGTTGATGAGAAACATCAACACTCCTAAACAACACATTACAGATTCCACTAATTAGGGTTGTGAATTTAAAAATTGATTCAAATTGTGGAATCGGATACCTAATGCCGAGTTCAGACTGCACGATTTTAGCCCCGATTTTGGCTCGCCGACAGGTTTTGAGAAATCGCCGACAAATGCCCGAAATCACAGGCAAATCGGTGCTCGTTCACACGAGTGACAATCACGCAGTGTGAATGAGCAAAGACGCGATCTGAGAGAATCGCCGACGAGTCGCCGACGCCCGTGAGATATTTGGCATGCTAAATATCTGGACCTGTCGGCGATTCACAATCCTGCTGTGTAAATGTGTTCTGACTGAAAACTACATTGGCGATGACCGACAGCCAATGAGAGAGCAAGATACAGGGAGGAGGAGGGGGAGTTATAGACCAGAATATCAGTATTTTAATAGATAGGCCTATATTTACAATTATATCAAACAGAAACAAAGCACAAACGTTTGCATGACCAGCAGCAACAGCAGGACATTTGCAAAATTATTTATTTACCCCCAACTCTCTTTGCAAAACACAGTCCTTGCTCCCCTCGTCTTCCCAACCATTTCCTGCATAAACTGTTTTCTTTTTCTTTTTCATTTTCGCTACAAATCAGTGCACATACAATTTGTAGGCTATCATTTTTAATAACAAATTCAGTGTCGCGCGAGAACTCCGGTCTCACGCACGCGTGATCTTCCGTTATTTCCTATCACTTCTCGCGTTTGTTTGGTTGTGATTGTGAAACGTAGTTTGCGGACCAGGCAGAAGTTGTCGGCGATTCTTTCTTTTGTAAAGTCATGCAGTGTGAAACCTCCTGTCGCCGATCCATCGTGCAGTGTGAACACAGCAGCAACTAGTCATGCAGTGTGAAAACAACAGTGACCCGATTATTTTGAAGATCGTGCAGTCTGAACTCGGCATAAGGTGTCATGGATGCAAAGCCATCATCAACACCAGACCCTTGAACTCCATCCACTCAATCAGCGTCACCTGAATACTAATCCAGCACACCTGCACCAACTCATCAGCACACAGTACATAAGCAGTCACCTATCACTTCACAAACGTCTGGTATTGTTGTTCACAAAGAGACAATTACTATCCAGCTAAGTGCATTCAACCGATCTTCATTCAGAACACTCACCTGTTGATTCTACTTGATCTCTGCCACCGGTCATAAACCTGTCTGTGAATTGTATTACCTGTGTTGTCTCCTTCTGTCCGCTGACATAAGGTCAGGAATCAAATACTTTTTATAAAGTTAATTTCTATTTCACATATCAATTCCTGTCTGCGCATTTTAATGTGATGTTAAACCAATCAACACAAGACATGAAAGGGAACCCTTTTCTGTGAACACACATCTGTAGTACACCCACAGAAGGCTGCCTCTCAAATAGTGTGTGAATACTGAATTAAGTTCTCTTTCATGTCTTGTGCTTGAATGGACAAATAAACAAAATATGTCAAAATGCCCGTCTTGGCAAGTATGCTCATAAACGCAGTCGGATTTGTCTCAAGTGAACTAAATGGTTGAAAAAGAAAATGTGTATCAGTATACTGGATCCGTGCATTCGGCCTTAAAGTAAAAGCAGTTTAATATTCCTTCTGCTGTCATTAATGTTATGAGCAAACAACAAAGCACAAAGAGAAAATCATTTATATCTTGACTGAATGACTGAAAACTATGCCGTTTTTAAAAAAAATTGATGTATATGAACTTTGTTCAGTTTTTTGTGCAATTGCTAATTTGTTTATTTATTCGTATTTTATTACTGACTGTTTACTTTTGAAATGTATATGAATTAATCATATTAATATATTAGTAGTTTTTGCTGTGGTATTTTTGTTAAAACCATAGGCAAAAGTTAATTGTTTAAGTGTTCTTTATAGGCTGCTGATTTTCATGGTATTTGGCTGCAACGAAATGTGTTGCAAAAAGACACAGAATAAATATGTTTGATATCTAAACGTTTTACTTCATTTTTTTAACCTTATTAGAATCAAAACTGTTAATCAATAAAAATTGCAATCGATAAGCCGAATTGGAAACACACAAATTCAAATGATACCCAACCCTAACACTAAAATAAATTCTAGACATGTCTAGACATGCACACTGAGAGCATGTAAACACAACAGGGTTTTATGTCTGCGTTTACTGTACAGTACATGGTGCTGACTAATCGTCTTTGTCAGCCACTAGACCAGACCTGCTTTTCTGCTGACAGTGTTACATGTTTTATTCAGGCGCTGTTGACTAGGTAAATGACTTCACACTTCTGTGAGTTATAATGCCTAGCAAAACAATTTAACATCCCGGTTAATATTTGTTTTTGTTTTTTGTTATTTGACAGTGTCAGAGAAAAACTAACTAGTAGTTATGCTACTAACTTAAATGTACAGTATGTAATTTTTGGCCACCAGGGGTCGCTAATCTCTTACAATAACAAAGGCGTATATCGATGACGCAAAGCATCAAGCGGAATTATGGATCTTGTCGTCAAGCTGATGGATCTTTTATGGATGAGTGAATACAGTGATATTTTTAACATGACTGTGGTATGAAGTAGGGCGCGATTGCTAATGAGAGACAGATATCAGCGCCACACGCAACGCGAGTCCCGCGGATATAAAGGAATAAGGACATTTCATTCTACCGAACTACACGCAAGTGCTGAATTAATAAGTTACTCACAGGTCAGTTTATTAGACGAATTAAACTTGAGGTAACGCAGCCCTGTTTCAATGGCTCTAACAGTTACACTATCACACTAAACGGCATTTGAGTGTGTTGAATGTTGTTAGTTAGGTTGTTTGTTGGCTGTATGAGACTAGCAGTAGGCCTAAGCTAGATCAACATTAGAATAACATACAGATCATATTCTAACATTTCATCATATTGAACTAAATAACATTGATTAGTTTTATGTACATTTGCTCACCTGTCTAATAAAGTACATGGAACACTCGCGTCTCTGTCAAGTCGAAGTTAGTCGCGGACGTGGAGCTCTCGGCATCTCGAAAGATTTTGATCTTCGTTCTAGTCCTCTTTTTGTCTCAAAGTCTGCTTGCCATGGTCCAAAATGTTTGAACAAAACAACAACAGCGTGAGCGTCCTGCTAAGCATAACCCAGTTGTCCACGTCTGTCGCCATGGTTACAATGGCAGTACGAGCGGAAACCGAGGGTAATGCGGATATGACGCCATTGACTGGCGACTCCTCACCCCTGCTGACACGTCCCGTTTCCTTGGTTAAATTCACAATTTTCTCACGATTTACAAATAGTTGGAAACATTGGGGATATTGTAAGTAATCAACTAAACAAAATATATAACATTGGCCTATTGATTTTTGAATATTTTACTGCAAAAATCCTACATATTGTACCTTTAACTACTTTTTTTCAGAAACTTGGAAATATCTACTTTCTATATCTTAATATCTAATTTATTTAAAATATATGTGACCCGTGCTGGCAAAAGCAGTCGGACTGCGCAGTGGATAATTTCGAGCTACAGGCAAAACAAGTGAAAAAAGGTAGATTTTGAGGTATTCACAAAAATGAGTTCATTAAGCCCTCGTCTAGCGATCCCAATGCTCCAAATTTAACATCTAAAAGTATCTTTATTTGTATGTTTTCTGAGAGGAGTACCATTCCTTTATCCATGATACTCTGGGTGACTGACAGATCCGATGCGTGCGCACAAAGACGCCTCAGACAGCGAGCAATCCCGATACACAAATACACGAATTACAGTATTTCAAAATATCTGTCTTGGCGAGTATTCAAGCAAATATTATTTGTCTTATGTGAGCGTTTGGTTAACTGTTGGGGAAAAAACATCTGATGTGTAACATTATTGTAGGTCTGTGCGGTAGGCTAAAGGTGATGATACACAGGGCAACTTTTTGAGCAATGTTGCTGGGCAATCTTGCCGAGAGATTGTTGCTTGGGCACTTTCTTATTGAAAATGGGCAATACATTTCTATCTGGATACTTTAGATCGGTCGTGGGCCCTGTGTCTCATCTGATTGCCTGTTGACTGCAACATTGCCCAACAACATTGCTCAAAAAGTTGCCCTGTGTATCATTACCTTATATAGGCTGTCTGTCTGTTTCATTATTGTTAATCAAACAATTGTGGTATAATGGAAAACAAAATTTAATATATATTTTGCCTATAGATACGAAATATTTGGTTTTGACTTGGTGTGCCAAATTTGGTGTTATTACCAGGGGTTTTAAGATATTAAGGTTGCTAGGTGATTTTGTTTTGGAACCTTCAGAAAACTTTAAGTCGATTTTTCTCAAAATTGACTTCGCTGATTCTATTGGCTTCAAATAGCGCAGCTCAGTCATTTTTTGTCTGATTACAAAATTTGCAAACACGGGTCACATATCTAAAGACAATTTGTAATTTTCACTTGTAGGGTTCCAATGGGCCACCTGGTTTTCCAGGTATCGATGGAATAAAGGTAAGATAACAGATATCGTTATTTGTTTTACATTTCAATCAAAAACGTATTGTTTTGAATACACAATAAATTTCCTATTTTTGCCTTTATTCGCTTTTACTTTTTAGGAATAACCCATACTTAGTTGGCTGGGGAAAGAATATTGTCAAAATTAATAAAATTGCCTTGTCCTTGTAAAATTGCCTTGTAAAATTAATCATCTGAAACAGAGGAACACAAAGCCAAATGTACCATTTCCGTGAAGTATTACACTAGTATTAGCATTATTATAGTGAAACATTGAGCCAGATTATGAATCTTTTCACTAGAGAGTCATGAGTCATTTCTTTGGTTTAAAGTCTGAACTTGAAGAGTGCATGTTTTGAAATTTGACCAAGGATGCTGGCTGTGAGGCCAAAACTTCTTTCAAAATACATTATAATGATGTATTTCAAATACAGCATAATAAGAAAAAGGTTGTGTTGTAAAAATATTTCCATGTTGCTCATATAGGGGAATGAGGGAAACTGATGTATACCAGCCTTGTAATCTTCTCAAGCATTTAGAAATCCATTAAAACTGAAGGGTGTACGTTAATTGGAAACAGAGTAAGACTGTTTTCCGGTGGAAGCAATACTCACTTTTGAAGTTGAAGTTCTAAATGTTGGATGCCAGGTCTCATGTAATAGATCTCAGATGCACTGCAGTTATAAAACAGTCCAAGGCTCCTTTAAATGCAATCTAGTTCATCATGGAGACAGGTAATTCAGAAAATGTCTTTATTTTAAAAAGTAATCGAGGGGTGTTGGTGGGGGGGGGGGGGGGGATCCTTGTGTAAGAAGTCACATGACTCCTTTTAGAGAGATGGGCTGAATAGGTCTCTGTGTGTTCTGTTATTTGTAGGGAGATATGGGTACGCCAGGATTAGATGGAATCCCTGGCGTCAAGGTTTGTGGCACATGTTGTGCAAGATTTCATCAGATCACGAGATTGATTATAGAAAATATCTATACTAATTACAAGTTCCATTGAGATAATGGCTATTTTTTTTAATCAGTAGATTATCTCATTATCAGAAGTCAAATATCAAATATCATGGCCATATCATTTAATATCATAAAGTGCACATTTGTCATCCTATGTTATTTGATCTATATAAAGTTATATGCCCATGTCCTTAGATGATCTGTTGTGTTTTCAGTGTATGTATTAGGCCTAAAGCTGTTCTGGGAGTGAGTAATGTTTATTTTAAATGGATAAATTCCATGTTCATTACTCCACAGGTCATGTACAATAAGATCTAAGTAAGATGGCATGTACAGTATAGTACAGGGCATCTGTAACATGAGCCTCATATCTTAAATGAAAATTGATTTAACCCCAGATGTGATCTGATTAAGCTGGATTCTTTGGTACACCCTAGTCCTTGAGTTTCTAGCCTTTATATATTTAACGCTGCTTAATTTATTTTCCATCAGGGTGACAGAGGTGAACAGGGTGAGAAGGTAAAACATGGGTTTACTCAAACTGATAATATGTCAGAGTTGTTTTGTTATGCGTGTTTTTTATTTCTGGGGATCAGCATAATTCTGTTGCTTCAATATATGTAAATACATATACATTTTTCATTTATTTCTTTTTTGGTAGAGCAACATAAAAGTAATATTATACCCAAAGCCCTCAGTATTAAAAATCAGTGATTAAGGAATGGAAGAGTAAAACTTTGAAAATGTCTCGGGTTACTTGACCGTAACCCTGTTCCCTGAAAAAGTGGGAACGAGATGCTGCACTTGATTTAAGCGCTATAGGAAAATGTCTTCGTTTGACCAGTTGTGAACACGTGTGGCAAACACGCCAAAGAATTTGGCTTAAATGACCTCTGATTATGACCTCATCGGAATGCGCACGTCAGAGGCTATAAATAGACATGTGGCAGGTGCACTCATCAATTCGTTCCCACTTTTTCAGGGAACAGGGTTAAAGTCAAGTAACCCGAGACGTTCCCTTTCAAAAGGTACTCTCAATGCTGCGATTGATTTAAGTGATATGGGAATGAGAATACCAACGCCACCGCACTGGAAGTGTCTGGACCCCTCAAGTTTGTGTAGTGTGTGCGCACAAACACGAGAAGGGCCTCAGACATGAGCTTGGGAAGTCGACATCTAAGGACATGTGAGCCCGGAGTAACATGAACATCCAAACTATAAAATAGAATAAATGTGTGCGGAGAGGACCAGCCTGCCACATCACAACTTCCTCTTGCTAAAGCCCTGGAGGATGCAAACCCCCTGGTAGAATGAGCCCTGACGCCTAGAGGCGAAGTTTGACCGTGCGCCTTAAAAGCTAGTGCGATGGCATCGCTCATTCACTGTGACATAGTCTGCTTTGTGGCGACCGCCCCCCAGTCACGGCCCCCATACCAAATTAACATCTGCTCTGATTTATGCCACTGGCTAGTGCGGTGGACGTAAATCTAAAGAGCACGAATTGGACACAGAAAGTAAAGTCTCTCCTGCTCCAGCATCAGAAGCATGACCAGTGCTGACTCAAATGGGGTGTCAAATGGGTTGTTGACTAGCCCCTCAAGGACCACGGCTAAGTCCCATGAGGGAACTTTGACTCTGAAGGGAGGCCTCAGTCGCCTAGCTCCACGAATGAAGCGGGCGATCCAAAGGTGTTTCCCCACTGAAACCCCGTCAAACAGAGCGTGGCAAGCTGAAATGGCGGCCACAAATACTCTGAGAGTAGAAGGACGTACCTGCTGACAGCTTTTCCTGCAGAAACTCCAGTATTGAAACAATCTGGCAGTGGACTGGGTCTACACGATGTATAGTGCACCACCTTACAAAGATGTGCCACTTAAGGGCGTACATTCTTCTGGTGGAGGGCGCCCTAGCATTCAGAATGGTCTCTAATACATCCGCTGGAAGTCCAGCATCTCTTAGCCGGTCCCACTCAAGTCCAAACATGAAGATTCCGTAGTTCGGCCGGGGATGGAATATTATCCCCTGCGCCTGAGACAGGAGATCTCGCCTGTACGGTATCGCCCAGGGCTAGCCGTCGAGGTAAGATACTATTTCTGGGAACCAGACTCTGGTCGGCCATCGAGGCACTATCAGCAAGAGGCATGACCCTTGTTGACGGACCTTCACCAGGATTCCTGGGAGCAGAGCGATCGGTGGAAACATGCATGGGCCATGGCGTCCAGACCCAGGGGGGTTAGAGGAGTCAGCGATAAGTAAAGGGGACATTGCGCTGTTTCTTGTGAAGCGAAGAGGTCCACCGTAAAATGGTAAAATCCCCTTGTGTCCCGTCTCGGCAATAAATCTGCTCCCACATTCATGCTTCCGAGAATGTGAATTGCCCTGAGGGAAAGGAACTTGTCCTGAGCCCAAAGCAGAACCTGCTGTGCTAGTTTGTTCAAACTGCGCGAACGCAGTCTGCCCTGGCAATTTATATAAGTGACTACCGCAGTGTTGTCCACACACACCAGGACATGGTAGCCTCTTAACTGGTGGAGGAAGTACTTCAGGGTCAGAAATACAGCCATCAATTCAAGGCAATTGGTGTGCCAATCGAGATGACAGCCTCTCCAGACCCCTTGGGCTGGACGGTCATCTAAGAGTGTACCCCAGCCTGTCAGGGAAGCGTCTGTCGTTAGCATCCTGGAACGGCAAAACACACCTAGAGTGGGACCCAAGGTGAGGAACCAGGGTCTGAGCCAAATAGAAAGGGTACAAAGCCTGCAACACATAACCCTTACCATAAACATGGATTTTAGAAAGGGCACGAAGCACTCTGCCTGTGTCCTTACACTTCCGAAATCCCCTGGCACTGAGCCACAGCTGAAATGATCTCATGTGCAGAAGGCCAAAGGTATCACCATAGACACAGCTGCCATAAGACCTAGAACTCTTTGAACATCATGGAAAGTAATTTCCTGACCTAGCCTAATATAGCTCAGGTGGTTTAAGACGGACTTGACCCGTGCGGGGGACAGCTGTGCCCGCATGGTGACCGAGTTCCATACAACAACCTAAATATGTTGTCCTCTGGGCAGGAGAGAAAACCCTTTTCTTGGCGTTGAATCTCAACCCCAGAGATACAAGATGAGCGAGGATGACATCCGATGTCGAAGCACAAGCTCTTGAGAATGGGTCAACGGAGCCAGAGGTGCATCCATGCATTTTGTGTATGTGCAGGGTGACAAGGCTAGGCTGAATTGAAGAACCTGATATTGGTAAGCTTCGCCCTCAAAAGCAAACCTTAGGAACTTCCTGTGTTGTGGCAGAATTTCTATATGAAAATATGCGTTTTGAGGTCGATTGTGACAAAGCAATTTTTGTGTTGAATTTGAGACACAATCATTTGACTGTCAACATTTTGAACTTGAATGTTCTGAGAAAACGCTTCAGATCACGAAGGTCTAGAATTGGACACCCCATCTTTTTTGGGGACCAGAAAATAGCAGATGTAATAACGATACTCGGTTACTAACGTAACCTCGGTTCTCTCTAGAGAGGGAACGAGTATTGCGTAAGTTTAGCTTACGCTACGGGAAAGATTCATCTTCTCGAGATATTGAAGCCAAAAAATTATCCTTAATTTTGTATTCATTGTCAACGCAGTGCAGCAGCTAGCAGACCTAGAGCAGGCCATCTTGCGTGCTCATTGGCTGCCCTGCTGGCATCTGCTGCAGCCTACCAGTGAGCCCCGCGTGACGTCACGCCCAATGAAGGGCGCTCGCGCCTTCATAGTGTCACAGCCCGCCAGAATGGGCGTGGCTTACCGTATAAAAGAAGGGGCTGTAAGCTGACTTCCCTGGTTTTTCGACGACTGAAGCGAAGTCGCTCGTGGCGCGAGCACGGCCGGTTACGCAATACTAGTTCCCTCTCTAGAGAGAACCGAGGTTACGTTAGTAACCGAGTATCGTTCTCTTACGAGAGGTTCTCTCGTATTGCGTAAGTTTAGCTTACGCTACGGGAACACTTTGTCAACGCCGTGCGCGCCAAGCATCCACCATGAGACCCCCAACTTTCAGGGGAACCCTATGAGTGGAGAAATAAGGTGGCCAGCTACGCGGGCCATCACTTGTACATAAGCACACATAGGGAATACAGAGCAGCGCGCTGGTCTGTATAGGCACATGGCACATACCCTATTTAGTGCAGCTCAACCAGGAGAGCTGAGTCATGTGAGAGTGATCTGAGCAGGAGGTCTGGGCAGAATACACCTCTCCTTTAAACTGACAACAGTTTAGCCTGCAAGGCAGGAACTTCTAGGTTATAAAACCTGACAAAGGTAGACGGGGAGCTCCAGCCCGCCGCTACACATATGTCATGGATAGAAATTCCACTGGACCATGCCCACGAAGAGGCCACGCCTCTCATGGAATGAGCCCTGATGCCCAGAGGGCATTCCAGACCTTTTGACGCGTAAGCGGCTGCTATAGCGTCCACTATCCATCTGGACAGGCTCTGTTTCGAGGAGGCGAGACCTTTGGTGCGCCCACCAAACGAAACAAACAGCTGTTCCGAACGCCTGAATGAGGCGGAGTGCGTAATGTAAAACCTCAGCGCTCTGACAGGGCAGAGGAGGTTCACATCACTTTTGCTGTCAGATGCTGGGAGAGCTGACAACGAGATAACTTGCGCTCTGAACGGAGTGCCCATCACTTTAGGAACGTAGCCATGTCTAGGTCTGAGGATGACTTTAGAGTCATTCGGCCCGAACTCAAGACACGATGCGCTGACAGACAGCGCATGCAGGTCCCCCACACGTTTTACTGACGACAGTGCAGTCAGAAAGACGGTTTTCAGTGATAGATATTTCAACCCCACGGAGTCTAGTGGTTCAAAAGGAAAAGCTTTCAGGGCCTCTATGACCAATGAAAGATCCCACATGGGAACTGACGGGGGGCGCGGCGGGTTCATCCTCCTAGCTCCTCTAAGGAAGCGGATGACCAACTCATGTCTTCCCAATGACTGGCCGTGCGTCGATTCTGCGAACGGTGCCATGGCCGCCACGTATACTTTGAGCGTGGACGGGGACCTTCCCTTATCCAACAGCTCTTGTAGGAAGGAGAGCAGATGCGCCACCCCGCATGTCCACACCCAGACCTCTGTCGGTGCACCATCCAGAGAACACCGACCATTTAGACGCGTAAAGCCTTCTCGTGGAAGGGGCTCTAGACTGCGTGATCGTGTTCATCACTCCTTCTGGCAGGGTAACGAGTACCAGTTGATCAACCATGCGTGCAGAGACCAGCGCTCTGGATGGGGATGCCAGATCGTGCCGCGAGCCTGGGAGAGGAGATCTGCCCTCACCGGAATCGGCCACGGAGCTGTATGTGACAGCCGTGCTAGCTCCGGGAACCAAATCTGATTCTCCCAACGCGGGGCTATGAGGAGCACCGAGTGGCGCGTTTCCCTGATTCTCTTGATCACCTGTGGTAACAGAGAGACCGGAGGGAAAGCATATAGCGGGAGGCTGGGCCAAACCTGGG